ATTTTTTATAAATTTATAATATAATTATAAAAAATGGTTTAATTATAATTATCATTGTTTTAATTTAAATTACTAATTTTGAAATCAACATTTGTATCATTTTTTTTAATAATATATATTTGTTAATTAAAAAGAAAAAAAAATAATAACTTTAACAATTGCCAAACACTTTTTTGATAAATATATAACATTGATTATTATTTTTATCAAATTAGTAGTTTGATTGATTATTAAAAACAAAAAATTGTTATTTCTTGTTTATTTTAACAATTTAAAAACATTTTGACGTTTTATAACACAACTTTATTTATATATAGTCAGTCTAAAAACGTTGTCCGGGCATTTTTGGACCATCAAAACTGAAATATTTCGGGAAACGGTTCAAAACATTTCAAAAACATTATTTCATAATTTTTACCAAAATTTAAACGTTTTTTAATTCCCAATTTTTAAACTTATTTTGTGTAAATTTATGTCAAATGGACAACGTTTTACAAGCAGCCAACATTTTAGACAGACTTTAATCAATTTTATCATTTACAAAATGTTTGATAATTTTTAATTTATGAAATTGAACATGGGACCTACATTGACCACCACCACCTCTTAAAATAGATTTATTTTTTCTATTTCGAATCATATTCAAATTAAAATTATAGTAAATAGGAAAATGGGAAGATATTAGGTCTGGTTCCCGAATTCAAGAAATGCCGAAAATTCACCTCGAGTCAGTGGAAACCAAGTGAGACGGAGCATTGAAAAGAAGGCTCATAAAGACGCACTCAAACAGTCTGTTTGTGCACCGTTTCACCCACTTTCCAAGTCCTCCCTTGGCGCGGATCCCCCCTGACCCCCCCCCCGCAAGCGGGGGGGGGGGGGGAAGGGTAAACCACATCCGCGTCCACACAGTACGGACAAGGAAAGTGGGCGATATGAAAATGCACAAACAGTAGCTGAAAAATGGACTTCCTTCAAAAAACACTCGCGGCAAATATTTTTTGGTAAACGGGGTGAGGGTGAGAAAGGATGGTCTTATTATTCAATGCTGTAAGACTTTAAATTTGATTATTGTATGTTATCAATATTTTCATATTTATATTTTTGAATGTAAAAAGAAGAATTTTGGCAACAAATATAAAGATTATAATCTTTAATAATTAAAAAGAAATAAAATAAATATATAACATACAAAAATAACTTTAAAATTTTTCGACTTAAAATATATTATCAAATATTTTTTATTTGTTTTTATTGATTTCAATTTGAAAATCGACAAACAAAATATAGAATCAAAAAATTTAATATCTATGCTTTCAAAAAAAACGAAAAACTTTTAAAATTAAGTTTGTTTTGAAAATGTGGAAGATAATATTCATTGTGATCATTAATACAACGAATGGATATTCATGTGATTCTCTCCGGCAGGGGTGAGCAATATTAATTGGTTTGTATTTTCAAATTGTAATGTCACAACCCGTCTGTATGCTTATCTCAAATTTTAAATTTGAATCTTCTTTGTATTTATATAACGAAATTGTTATTCCCCCAAATGTCATTTTTATTCATATGAAAATATATTGGCAAAACACCAAAATTCTTACAATTGTTTTAAATTCTCATTTGGTTTGTATTACAAATTTTTATGTGAACATAACATTAATTATTTAATCGAAAGCAAATATACTTGTTTTTCAAAATGCTACTACGTTTGGTAGAATGTCAATTGCTGGAAATCTTAAATTAATTAATCATGAATTGAATAATCCACAAATTATAATGTGGAACTCAACTTATCTTCATCTCCATTATAATTACACATATAGACCAAATTTTGAAATTCTTAATCCAACAGGTAACTTGAAATGTTTTGACACAATATCACTTTATGACAAGTCAAACATTGACACATCATCTGATTTAAATCATATCCACTCTTACATGTTTAACTATTCATACAATTTCACAGATGGTAAGGGCTATTTAATATCAAACAAAAAGTTGTTGAGATTTTTCCCAAATAATATCCTACTTAACAAAGATGTTATTTGCACTTTAAAGAAAATATATTATACACCAAACTCACCAACTAACATGGAGGGCGCTTTTGATTATCCACATTGTCCTTGTAATGACGATGTTGATGTGAATTGTGAACTTAAATTTACAAATGAAGTTGGCGAATTCAATATGCTCAGTAATACACTAAAAAATACCGAATTGTTAGTTGAAAGAAATATTACAATAAGTAACTTAAAAAAATGTTAAACAAGTCACAATTTTGGATGATGTAAAGTTGTCAATTATAACACAATCTTATGATATAGCGTTATTATTTTCTTTTGGAAATGTAACACTCGATCAATCTATATTTATTAATGGGATTTTCTTTTATTCAACTTTGTTGAAAATGCTGACATGCCAAAATAACTTAATTTACAATATTGTGATCAACAGAAATGCAACCAAATTAAACATTGACTGCACTGGAAATATTAAATCACTTGGTTTATATGAAAACACAGACGTTAAAATTTTAAAGAATGTAATTATAAATCAAATAGATCAAATTGATTTTAGTGAAAATGGAAAGAGTTTTGTATTTTTGGAAAATTCAAGCAACAACAAGGTTCTAAGCAATTGTTATCTCGTTGAAGTAATTCAAAGTAAAATAATATGTGTAGTATGTCATGATAAATATCGACTTGTTGACGGTGCTTGTCTTCCTGTTGATAACAATTGTGAGACACACAACAAAAACAACATTTGTGTATTGTGTAAAATTGGGTTTGTTTTAAATGAAAGGCATGAATGTTTATCTTCTGGACTTTGTTTGCGTGGCACTTCAACAAATTGTTACAAATGTTAAGACAATTACATCAGACACGAAAATGTATGTGTTTTTAACGAAAGATGTCGACACAGTGACGGGAGTAATTGTATTAGTTGTCTCAGTGGTAATTTATACGACAAATGTCGAAATTGTATATCAAACTGTTTTATTTGTAATAACGAAAAATGTATTATTTGCAATAACAAATTTGTTTTGAATAATGGAAGTGCATGTGTTAAAGAAATAGTAGGGGCTTCATATGGAATTTCAACAGTTTGGTGTAATAATGAGTTTTACAACAACAATGGTGTTTGTAACAATTGTTCTTTAGAATTTGAACATTCAATAATGTGTGATAAAAGAAATGAGACTTTTTGTGAAATGAATTATATTGTTTCTAAAGAGAGAAAATGCATTTCATCAGTTTGTAAAAACGAGACATCAACGAACAAAATAGAATTTGTACTTTAATGATAGACAAATGTATGTTCATTGTAAAGAATAAATGTGTTGAATGTGAAAACGACTATATTTTTAATGAAAACAAAACTTGTGTAAATGTAATTAACAACACAGTGTCAATGATTGGTTGTGCTTTATATTTAAAATCTGTGTGTATTTCATGTGAAGTAGGTTATTATCTGGCACGTGGAAATTGTTATTCATGTTCAGAGAATTGCACAAGTTGCATTGAAAACGATACACGATGTTTATCTTGGGTTTAGGAAAACTGGCCTCAGTGAAAACTGGCCACAATATTTAATAAAAGTTCAATAACAATTCAACGTTTTATTCAAAAACAAAACCAATATAAAAATAAATTTGTATTATTTTTTTGGCTCTTTTAAGTTCCTTGAATATTTTGCTTTTTCTTAATGGTCTGGATCCTTCTCTTGTTTTCTTTTTGTGGATAGGTTTTGTTTTTTTCAGTTGTTGAAGTACATTCATCTTCGTTTATAACATATTTTACTGCGCTTTTTTCTTCGAAATCTATTTCAACAACTTTTTCCAAATTGTGTTCGGCTTTATTATCCATGTTTGCTTCAGCTTCGAGCCTTTCTACAAGGTCATTTTCTCTTAATGTTTCTTCAATAAGAGTATTAATATCACAATCGAGAAGTGTATGCATTTTCGAAGCGCCAATAATAACAGATACTTTTTCAAGAAACTCAAGTCGATCCATTCCATTCATCAATTCAGTTGTCAGTTGTTTTATTGTTATGTTTTTCATTGCAACAACACGCTTTTTCCTTGTTAATTGCAAATTTGTCATCAACGAAGAAAAATGAATGTCAACACGTTTTATATATTCTTTTAAATAGTCAACAAATTTGTGTATATTAGGTGTTTTTGTTAATACTAACCTATTTAAAGAACTGTGAAAACTTTCTGCATTATTGTTTGTTCGTTCTTCAATACCAAATAAACACCAATTGTCAACTTTAAAAACGCCGTTTATGTAATAATTTTCAAAGTGTTTATAAATAACACAAATGTCGGCGTCATCTTTATAAATTTCTTTTAATTCATAAAATGTTGTGTATTTCATACTAACCGGCATAAACGGTAAAGACATCAATTTTCTGATTGCACTTTTAAACTCGTCTCCATTTTTATAACGGTGTTTAAATCCACAATAAGAAACTTTCCGAAATATATTCTGGCAATAATGAAAGTGACAACACTTTACTTTGACTTGTTTAGGAAACAAATTCTTAATAAAACACAACTCAAAATCTCCCATAACAATCATTTCTCTGTTAAAAAATCACTACCAACACCATTTCAGAGAATCTAAAAAGTTATAATACACTTCAGACTTTTCCTTTAAGACACCCAAAAACAATCGGAAAACATTCACAACTGACAAGCCCGTGTATAGTATATAATTGATAAAAAAGAGCTATTTGTTATTGTATTATATTATTATAATAAATTTAATTAAACAAACACGGACATGATCTAAATGTGCCATCAAAAAATAAAACTGGAGAAGTTTTTAACAACTCAACATAATCTTGTTTTCCAAAAATTATCATATCATCATCTTGATATAATACAATTTCTTTTTCTATTTCGGAAAATTCTATGTCTTGTGTTTTGGTTACAGAGTATGGCTGTCTTTCCTTTCTGACTTGTTTTTCACAGACAGAAATTCTTCGAGTTGTTCCTTGAATGTATTGCTCTACTACTATTTGTTTTGTTGTTTTGTTTTTGGAATCTTCTTTTTTAACCGCTTCTTTTAAACGTATTCGAAACAAATCATTTAAATAATCGACATAATCATGTGTGTAAATGCATCATTTAAAAAGGTGTATTTATAATTTCCACTCTCAATTTTAACCAGTTCGATTTTAACTTTACAACCTTTGTGAGAACATTTAAATTTTATTTGATCCTTTTTTTCGGGTTTGAATTTGCAGCCATTTTTGTATGGCATCTGATAGCCTCTTTGACTTTCAAGAAAAGCAATTTTTGTATTTCTTCCATTTATTTATTTTTCAGTTTATCGTTTTTATTTGAAAAAACAAATGAGAAAAAAGTTGAATTGTTATTGAACTTTTATTGAATAATGTGGCCAGTTTTCCTCATGGCCAGTTTTCACTGAGGCCAATTATCCGTCTCCCGTTTATCTTGTATATTTGGTTTTTATATGGGAAATAATCACGAATGTTTGCCGAACACCGACTTGTTGGGAAAGTGTGACAAAATATCACAAATTACGGGCGGGTGTTATCAATGTAAAGACGGGTATTATAGAGTTGGTATGGATTGCTTTAAATGTTTTTTTTAATTGCTCAACTTGTAATACGGTAGAAACGTGTTTAACATGTAATTCAACAAATTACAAAACACAAAGTGGAAAGTGTTTACCACAAAACAGTCTTATTGGGTGTATAGTTGATGTTACACAACTTGGATGTGATAAATGTTCAAATGGATATTATACAATCAATTACAACGAGTGTGAAAGACGTGATAACAATTGTTCTACATGCACACAACATGATAAATGTACATCTTGTTTTGAAAACAAAATTATATTTGAAAGTGGTCTATGTTTTGATATTTCATTTGTATCAGAGTGTCTTGATGTTTTAGACTCAAAATGTTTGAAATGTACATTCTGGCATGTACCAAACGAGAATGGTACTTTATGCGACAAGAAGGTGGTTTGGTGGGTAATACTTATTGTAGTGTTGTTTATAATTTGTGTATTGATAGGAGTAATCCTGACAATCATATTTATTGTGAAAATTGTAGAAAAAAGAATTCGACGTATAGCCAATGAGCAAACAACACTTTTTAATATGAAACATTCAAACATTTCTTTTGTTCCTCTTGGAAAAAATCTTGTTGTTAACAAACACCAAATTATGTTTGGTGACACTGAAAATCCTATTGGAGTTGGCGTAGAAAGTCGTGAGTTGATTTGTGTTGGAAACCCATCAAAAAGTCGTTTAAAAATTCAATTTTCTGCAACTGAAAACATTATAAAATATACAATTAGAACAAAACCAAAAGTAATTTCTTTACAAAAAGGAAAAGCAGTTGAATTTGAAATATTCGTTAAACCAAAATGTTCATGCAAAATTGATGACAAAATCATTATTTTTTCAAAAAACTTGGAAGACGGAATTACACAAGACAACCAAATAATTTTGAGGATTTACACTGAAATAACGACACGACTTGACCCGGACGAATTGGTTGAAGACAAGAAATTTGGAGAATATTCTTTTGGAATTGTGTACAAAGAAACTTTTAGAGGAAATTGTGTTGCAATTAAGAAAATGAAGGAATTCAACGAAAATGATTTAGACGAATTTGAAAATGAAATTAAAATGTTGGACAAATTCCGCAGTGAATATACCGTCCATTTTTATGGCGCAGTGTTTATACCAAATAAAGTGTGTATGGTCACTGAGTTTGCACAATTTGGAAGTTTACAAAACTTGATGAAAAACAGAACAAGTAATAATGTTGATATGAAATTACGAACTAAATTTGTATTGGATGCATCAAAAGGGATATTGTATTTCATGAGAATGGGATATTACACAGAGATATCAAACCAGACAATTTTCTGGTATTTTCATTTGATTTAAATGACAAAGCAAATGCTAAATTGACTGATTTTGGATCATCTAGAAATATTAATTTACTAATGACAAACATGACGTTTACGAAAGGTATTGGAACACCAAAATATATGGCGCCTGAAGTTCTTGAACAAGAAAAATACAAAGAACCGGCTGATGTATATTCGTTTGCCATTACAATGTACGAAGTCATGGGGTGGGGTGAAGCGTATTCTGTTGATATTTTTAGATTTCCGTGGACCATTGCAGAGTTTGTGACAGCAGGAAAACGTCTCGAGAATAGAAAAAACATACCAAAAACATTATTCAAAATAATTGAAAAATGTTGGAAACACAATCCAAAAGAACGGGAAACAATTACTCAAGTGGTTGATTTACTTCAACATATTTACGAAATTTAATTTGAGGTGTTTAATGTTTTTTTAATGTGTTTAAAGAATATCCATTTTCATCATTACAACATTTTAATTGATGCCAAAATACATTATGTGATGGTGTAAAAACAACAGCTCTGACATTATAAAGAGTCATTGCAAAATTATTTTAATATTTTAACTAATATTTAGAAATTAATACCATTTAAACAAATCATTTCTCACTGAATTTTTGCTTGTCAATTTGCTCGTTTAGTTTAATAATATAACAATGAGAAATATTAATTTACTACAAAACATGTTATCAATCTTAATAAGTAGATGAAAATGTATTTAATGGACAATACTGTTATAGATATACATTTTTAAATTAAAAAGGGTTTTAAAACTTCAAAGTTTTTTTAAAAGAAAAATATTATAAGTTGATTAATTTTGATAGTATTGATATATTATAAGTGATCACTCGACTTTTAATAATTCAAATGTTAATACCATTAAAATGGTTATCTGCTTGTGATTTTAATATTAAAATTACTAAAATAGGAATAAACACTAATACATTTAATTTAGCCCTATAATTATACATTTAATTAATGTACTATATAATTAAGAATACGTTTTACGAATTCGTATCAAATTAAATTTTTAAAAAGAGTTTGGTTCTAACAACAACAGCAAAGTAAAAAGTTCTTTACTACAACACTTTTACAAATACTGAATATAACTCTTTCTCTTTAATTAAAATATACCAATTGTTGTTTATGTAATGTATTAAAAAATTGTATTTATAAAAAAATGTAATATTATTTAAATGTGACAAATGACCATTAAAAACAATTACTAAACGATAAATCACGACTTGGTTTCTTCAATGATTTTATTGACCAGCTCTTCGCCATATCCGAATTGAGCAAGGTACTTCATTGCTTTTTCCTCAAGCAAAGCCCACTCGACTTTTCTATCAGCATAATACTTTCTCAGTATCACAATTGCAATTGCTGTTGTTACGCATTGTATGTCCACTTTTTCATTCACAAATTTTTTTTGAATTGGTTCAAATTCATCAAAAATAGAGATAACATTTTCAAATCTTCCATCAAATTTTTGTTTGTTGATTAACTGATTATATTTATATTCATTTTTATCGGTATCATCGACGTCTTTTTTGCCTCTTTCTCTTTCCGGTTTATAACGGGAAGATTGGGTTGGCGGTACAAACTCATAAGCTCCTCTAATAATAGTTGGTTTGGATTGATTGTGTTCTATTTGACTGATATCAACTTGTTTTACTGAGTCTGTCTCCACTTTAGTTGACTTGTCTATTGCAACAAAAGTTGTGTATTTAGACAGGACGTTGTATTTTAGTGACAATTTCACACACTTCTCTTTCTCCTCTTTCGACTCCAACACTTTCAATTTCTCAAACGCTTTAAATTGTCCCAAAATGGTGTCTTTAACTCGTACCTTTTCGGTGGACGTCAATGTCACTTTCTTCTCTCCAACATTTCCAGTTAACGTCCCCTCAACTTTTGAGTCACTTGTTGTATCGAAGAACGCAAAAGTCTCTTTATTAAATATCCCAACAACTTCTTCACTCTTCCCTTCTTCAAAAACGCCGTTTGTGAGTGTCACTTTCCCATTTTTGATTGCAGGCAACAAGACCTTGTTGGTAATTTTTGAAAGTTCTCTTCGCAAATTTTTGGTGTCTCTGACTACAACAGAAATGCCACCACCCACATTTCCAATGTCTCTGATTAAGTCTGAGTCGACGCCGTTGCCAAGTCCAATGCAATGGACTATCGCCTTTCCTCTGTTGTCTTCTAAATACTTGAGAATCTCAATCTTTTTATTTTGCCTAACCTGTCCGTCTGTCAGTAAAATGATTTGACTTTTCTGTTCCATCGCACTTTTTAGTGGTTCCAAGATGTTTGTTCCGCCATAGTTGCTTTCAAATTTCTCGATAGCTTTCGACGCAAAGTCAAAAGAAGTCTCGTCGTATTTTTTGAGACCAGAAAACAGCGAGTCAAATTGTGACCCAAATGAAATGATGTCAAATGTGCTGTCTGTTGGAAGTTGTCTCAAAAAGAGTTGTAAAGCACTCTTGAGAGACTCAATTCCTTTCCCACACATACTCCCAGATCAATCACATATAAAGATCACATCAACTGGTCCAACCTTCTCGTCACTCATAAATACAGACAAGCCAGTCTTCTCCTCGAGGTCTTCATCCTCAGTTATGTAAATCCCATTTCCAATTTTACCGAGTTGTATCGATGTGATCTCACCCAACTTCTTTGTAAAAGTGCTTTTGGGTGATGAAATATCGCCAACGTACTCGATCGTAACTTCAGCATCAGTTTCTTCTTTTTTAGTTTCAGTTGATGTAAGAACTAAATTGTCGTCGACAACGGAAAGGCGTGTGACGTATATTATTTTACACTCAGCAGTTTTGGTTGTGTCCAAATTGCCAAGTGAAAGAACGAGAGTGCGATCGTCTGTTTTCTGGATGTCTGAAGTCGAATATCCAGAACTCTTTGCGTCTGCTATTTCTTTCTTAGCAGCTTCAATCTCTTTGAGCGACGAGACCACCTCTTTGTCGTTCACTTTGTATGAATACCCAACTATGGCACTCTGGTTGTCATACTCAAAGCTGGTTGAAAGGTCAATTGGTGTTGGGTTTGTGTTAGTCACAAAGTGTGTTGCTGTCACTCTTGCAAAGCACCCAATCACCTCAATGTTGAAATTGATTTTATAAAACTTGACAAGGGAAGTTTTTTGTTCTGGTAAAGCCAGTTTATTAATAAGTTTGAAGAAAAACAACATCTTTGTTTTTAAAAGATGTTGGAACCTTATATAGTTAGTTATGAAGTTTTTGATTTTTAATAACAAAAAAATATTTGTTAATTGTGAATGATGTTTAGTTAAATTTGTTTTGTATTTTTTGGCATTATAAATATTTATTTAAAAATATAACGATTATAAACATAAACATTACCATTATAAATTAAATAAAATGTTTTGATATGTACAAATCATTTGTATTCTAAATACATGTCAAATAACAATTATTTGATTATTCAAGTTGTACATAATTTTGATAAATATTTAATTTTAACACTTAACTTGCCGAAAACTAAAATTTTATTAGAATAATAACAATATCAAAAAACGCCTTCTTGAGAAAAATAATTAAAAAAGACCAAAAACCCCTTCTTGGCCGAAAAACCGAAAAATGAACCAAAACTTAGTCAAAAATAATAAAAATGAGGACTCAATTACCTAAGATTTGTTTTTGAGGTTTAAAATAGCAACACATTTGTCAAATTAAAGTCAAACCTCTTAAAGCGGAAAGGTATGGTAATTTTTGTTCTCTCAAGAACGGTCATTTTAGACAATCAGACCTTAATCACCACTCTATAGAAAACTTGATTTTTGTTTCAGTCTAAAGTGCTTACTCCTGAAAAAACCCGCTCTTCCGAAGAGCCACTTTTAGAAAATTTTACTGTATCTCAGAACTGCAAATTTGTTTTATTGAATAATAATAATATACCAAATACATGTAAAATAAATCTTGTCGCTTAAAAAGACGTATATAAATAATACGAAAATGAATCATAACAAACTCAATTTAATTTGATTTACGTTGGTATTGACTAGATGAACAGCAAGTTGCTTTTTAATTCGATAATATTTTGTTTTTTATTGAAGATTTAGTTCATGTCATTAAAAATAGATTTTAAATAAAAAACAAAATAATAATTTATTAAAAATGTTATAAATTAATAAGATTAATAAATAAAAAAAAATAAATAAAACAGTTTAGTTAGTTATTTATTTAGTTATTTAATTAACATTATTAAACAATTGTTTACAAAAGTTTCTAAATTTCCAAACATCATTTTTTTATTTGCAAATTTTAAAAATTTCTATAATTTTAGTTTATGTTATTATGATTATACAAAATAATTATTTTATTACGTCTTCACTTTCAAAATTATTTTTATAAAAATTAATATTTCAAATTTTATTTTGAAAACAAAGACAAAAATCAATTTTGTTAAAGAATCAATTTCGGGGTTAATTTTAGTGCGGTTGGCCAGTTTATTAATAATGAACATGAGTAATGTTATGTTTATCATTTAGATGTTGGAGAACAATTAACGTTATAATTATTTTCGTCACATTACAAGTTTTATTTTTGTGTATTTTTATTTCTATACAGTTAGACGAAA